GGAAATGAGGTCTGAAAATCTAGGTTTCCTCCTTGAAGGACATGAAGAACATGAATGTTAAAATCATAACTTGTTATTACAAAATCTGAGGTTTCATGCTATGAGTTCGAAAACATGGACCTTGGTACCCGTACTTGAAGATCTTGGGAAAACAAACACAAAAACATGGATCTTAATGCAAGCTTTCGGATCAAATCATGACTTTTCTTCAAGAACACATGAATATCATATTTTCTTTCTAAAACCGAACTTCAAAGCAAAGCATGGCTTACAAATCATGCTCGATCATGCAATGCAGCTAGATGAATAATAAGAACAACAAGAATAGATCAAGAGTCTAACCTCAAAGCACAGATCTAATGGCTCAACTCTAAGGATCAAGCTTGGAATCTACTTCTCTCTCTAAAGACTTCTTCTTCTTCTTCTAGAGCTTTTCTCTCCTCAAGAACAAAGACATATAACAAATGATACATTTCTAGGTCTGCCGGCTGACTTAACACTCAACTCGGACACGTGGCACCACCGGGTTGGTTCTCCTAAAAAAGGTGACTGAAAGACAAGACAAGACTATGACAACGTATGTTTAACAAGCTAGATGGCAAGGGTACTCCGGCAAGTAACAATCTCGGCTAAGGACAAAGCTTCGGCAAGTAATGACATCGGCTAAGAACAAGGCGTCGGTAAGTAAGGGAACAATAATCTCGGCTAGGAAGGATAACACTTGGCCAAGCTGTGCCACACCTTGGCCTAGATGTGCCACACCTCGGTCTAGGTCGTACCAATCTAGGAACAAGATTACTAGGTGCAAGGATTAAGGATCTCGGACGCCTAGGTGATAACATCTCGGCCTAGATGATGAACATCTCGGCCAATATGCCTAGGTGATGGTGGAGGTCAACCAAAGTGGTTCCAAGATGGTCCTAGGGGTAAGAGGTTCAAAGGTGTTACCTAGGCTTGACATGACCTAGGCTTAACATGACCTAGGCTTGGTATGACCTAAGCTTGAGACAGCAAGGAAGGAACAAAGCATGCATACAATACTTTGGCAAAACATGATAGCATCAAGACAAGACAAGAACTTTTACCTAGGCAAAACAAGTCTAAGTCTACAAATGCAAACTTAACAAGACAAAATCATGAAAATGCACATGAACATGACTAAGACATGAATGTGGGTTATTACAATGACTCCCCAAAATTAAAGTGAATTCAAGGCATGCATGAGGGAATTCTTGAAGATTAAACTCAAAACATGGAAATTCATGTATGCATGTATGGTATGACTCAATTCTATTCCATTCTAGTGCAATTCCTTCATGAATTCACCTAATTCACTTAAAGTCTTGTAAGGTCTACTTCAATAACACAATTAAGAGTTTGATTTCTTACCTAGAGACTTGGATTTACAAAGGTTGAAGTTGAAACTTCCAAATTCTATCAATCTCACAACATCCCTAGCAAATCTTTTGTTTGAGCTCAATTATTCCCAACTCTCCCTCTCTCACGTTTTCTATTTGATTAGGCTCAAAATGTATTGAGATGGAGGAAAAAGATGAGTGAAAGCTCAATTGGTGCCTTAAATAGGCTTGGTTAAAAGTGTAATTAATTTTGGTTAATTAAGTGGATATTAATTTAATCTAATTTAATTGTTCAAAATCGAATTTTAATTAAACTTACCATAAAATTCTATAAATCCTAATTAACATATAAATCAAGTCAATTTTTGAATTGGTTGCCGATAAGGCCTTCAATTCGCAACCCGAAACGAAAACACGAATAGATCTTTCTACGTTAAATAGATATAAACACAAAATGATGCAATGCACATATAATTAATTGAGTATTTCTTCTTAATTACTCATTTGGCATACTTAAACATGAATTAGCGTTAATCATGGGTCGGGATTGTTACAATTTAATAGACAAGTCGAGTTCAAATGAGTTTTAAACGAGCCGAGCTCGAGCTACTTATAAAGAGCTCGAGCTATTCATGAACAGTTCGGTTCGTTTGCAGCTCTATTAACATGTGTGCTATGACAGAAGAGTTGAGAATAAGGTTGTTTATTTGGTGGGTAAGTTTGAGATTAATGGAAGTGGGTGCTGTACTTGGGAGGGTGTCCCTCTTTCGTGGTTGTTGAGCCCTCTAAGGAGTGAGGAAGGTGCTGTGTATTGTGTTTCGACTATCTATAATATCTTTGCTATGTTCTAAAGCTTGATTTTGTTCAATTTTGTTTTTTGTTTTTGTTTTTGCTTTTGCTTTTTGTTTTTGCTTTTGTTTTTGTTTTTGCAAGTAATAAAATAATAAGGAATAATGATATTTATGATAATGGTGAATCTTGGTGAGGTGGATTAGAGTTTTAGAGTGAGAAAGAAAATGAAAAGAAAATAATTAAAATTTGAGAAAAAATATGAAGTTAATTGAATATGAAAGATACATGTATGTGGTTTGAGTGCATCATAAAGAAATAATATTTTATTTTAGAGTTTAATTTATATTGTCCTTATTAATAAATTTATATTAACATATAATAAAACTAAAATTTTAAAATTTTAATTAAACATATTAAATTATTATTTGAGTACAAATATAATCATCCCTTTTTGGTTAAATAAAAACAAACCAGGCAGCTTTGGTTTACAAATCTTTCCTAACAATGACTTGGACCCTTTTTTTTTTTTTTTACTCCCTTGACCCCCTCTTCACCTGATTGGCTACTTTTTTTTTTTTTCTTTCTTTTTTTTCCCCTTCTCCTCCAATCACCACCCGCCACATGTCTCTCGGGTTGGGAGAGGTGGGGGTGGTGATTGGAGGGGGTCTCAATCATCACCCTTATTTATTTATTTATTTACAAGTAACAATGCAATAAAAAATAATGATATTGATGATAATTGTGAGTTTGATGTGGTGCAGTGGTGGAGCCAAAAATTTAATATAGGGGGGTACCTGGATCTGCAGGAAGGTCTACTAAATTGATTTCTATGCGACTTTGTTTTACGGAAGAATGATTATCATCTTCATCTTGAGGAAGAGATGATTCCAACTTTGATTTTCTTTTGAAATATTTCTCCATAATTATTTGAAAAAACTAAAAATCAAAATTAAAATTCATAATCAAAATCACAAACCCCCACAAATCAAAATCTCAAATTTTAATACAGATTAAAAAAATTAAATTTAGCACAAATCACAACAAATAAAAATTTATAATTTTAGTACAAATTATAACAAATCAAAACCCCTAATTTAAATATAAATCACTACAAATTAATATTTTTAATTTTAGAACAAATCAAATCCCTAATTTTAACACAAACAACAACAAATCAAAATCACTAATTTTAATATAAATCACCACCAATTAAGATTCATAATTTTATTATATCAAAATCTCTTATTTTAACATAAATAATAACAAATAAAAAATTTTTACAAATTAAAATTTAACAAATAACTATAAATTAATACTCATAATTTTTATTTAAAAGTAAAAAAATGAAAATAAAGTTATTTGTAAATAATGAAGAGAAGATACTAAACTTGTAGTGTGGTCCCAAATCTGTGTTGTGTGATCCTAATTTGGTGAATCGCGAGTTGGTAAATTGCAAAGCAACAAAGGAAGACGAAAAAGACAAAGAAAACACGAAAATATTTAACTAGTATTGTGAATAAATAAAAAAATAAAGAATTTCATACACTTTTAGGGTTTTAGGGTTTTAGTTTTGCCGTAATTAGAGTTGTGTGTACTCACAAAAAAAAATTATGTGTCAGTGTTTGGTTGAGATTGAGATTTAAAAAAAAAAAATGTGGGTCCATGGAGTGGTGTCAGTGTGTTTGGGACGCATTTGGGAGGGCTATGTAGCAGAGGGGCACTCTGTAAGCAAGACCAAATAAAATAATAAAATATTTTTTTTTTTTTGAAAGGTCAGGGGGCACGTGACCCCCTCGACCCCACATCCCTCCGCCACTGATGGGTGGATTAGAGTTTTAAAATAAGGAAGAAGAAGATAAAATAATTAAAACTTAAGAAAAAAGATAGAGACCTGAATATAAAAAATACGTAGAAATGATTAAGGTGTACCATGATAATTTTTTTTATTTTTTTATTTTAAGGTTTAATATGTGTTGTCTTTATTAGTAAATTTATATTAAGATATAATAAAAACTAAACTTTTAAAATTTTAATTAAGCATACTAAGTTATTTTTTGGGGTGAAACTAAAAAATTACCCCCACTGCGACGACTACCACTTTTGGGTTTCACTACATCAACTAGACTTTGGGTTTAGCCCGGTGTTCTTGTAGTCACATTTTAGAGCCGGGTGAGAAAAAAATCAAAAATTTAAATTGATTGAGTAATTGCGAACACCTTAAGTTATAATATAATTTTATTAATAATTAGTTAACATTTTACAATCTTGACCAAAAAAAAAAAAAAAATTACATGGCCCACCTTTCTCAAATGCCACGTGGTGTCCATCCATTTGTGGGCCCTTAAGGCCAAGTTTGGCATATTTAAAAAAAGATAAAAAGTCAAAAAGTCACTATTCTATTTAAGTCATATCATCTTATTTAAGTCACATCACCTTTCTAACACATCACTTCAAACCCAACCCAAACCCAACTCATATTTCATAAAAAGTAAAAAAGTATACTTATTTAGATCATTCCAAACAACCCTTAAAAATTGAACATCTTTTTTCTTCCCTTTTTTTTAATCGGAAAAAAAAGGACACAATACATTATTAATGATAATAAAAAATTACAAAAAGAGAGAAAAAGAGGTGGAAAAAAAAAAAAGAACCCATCAACAACCAAAATTGACACATTAAACTTTATTAGAGAAAGGGACAATTTTATTATAAAAAATGATATAGAAGTTACCTTTTAAATTTATTTTTTAAATTCAGTGATATGTAAAAAAGATGATTGATTGATAATTAGAAAATATTTAATTATCAACTAATAATTTTTTTAACACACCACTAGATCTAGAAAATAGATTTAATTTTTAAACTTGAATAGCATTATTCTTTTATTATTTAGATTATATTCTCAACATCATGCAAGCAAGAAATTACAATTTAGCATTTGCGGGAGGAGGAGGAGGAGTGGAAACAAATGAGAGGAATTCTTTATCGGCTTCAAGTTTCGCCATGTTGGCGTCGTTCGAAAAAATCAACGCTTCTATGCCATCATCCGTTCTGATAGGAAAGAAAAAAACGATATTATCAAGACTTAACATACCTAAAGTCACCCATACTGGCCTTTCCCATCCGAAATCAGTTTCGTATAGTGGAAACCTAGCCAAGCTCGAAAACACAAGAGAAAACACCGCCTCTCCTCCTCCTCCTTTATTACCACTCTCCTCTAATATCTTGGAATTCAAGCCTTCCATGCCACCACTACCACCCTCTTGGAGTTTCCTTACAAAATCACTGTCAACTTTTCTTATCCCATCTCTCATTTGAGTGACCAAGCTACCACAATCCTCTCCAATAGCATCTTTTTTCAATGGTGGTGGTACTAATAATGCCATGGCAGCTAGGAATGGCAATGGGGGGCAATGGGGTGGATATTAATTCCCCATCCCCATTCTCCTATAATAAATTTTCCCCATTCCCCATTCCCTATTCCCCATGGGTACCACCCTCCCCACTTTTTAATGGGTATGGATTTTCCCCAACCCACTTTAATCCCCATTTTTATTTTTTATATTTAATGTTAACAACCACTCTTTTTTTTTTCTTTTTTTTTTTTAAATGTTCACAACAAAAGCTAAATATGCCTTCAATCTTTTTTCTTTCTTTTTAAATATATTTAATGTTTAACAAATTTTTTTTTTTAAGGGTTACCATAATATGAATTAGGCAAAGGTGGATTGAGTTTCGTGCGCAGGTTCACCACTTGATTCACCAAGCATGTAATTCTTTCTCCACATACTGCCTCTCCTTGAGTGGCGGCCTTATATCTATACCATATAAAAGTAGAGAGTGCCTCAACACGAGTCGGATTGACAATAGTGGCGGTGGTGGGGGTGTATTTGGCTTTAAGAGTAGAGATGGCGGAGTCGCTAAACATGAAACTTTTTGCAGTGATCTTGTTTTTTGTAGTGCCAACGCCGTGCTTGTGGTAATTGGGGTTGGGATTAAGTGTAGGGGGAAAGATGTTGGCCAAACCGAATTGGGGATAAACCAAATGCTATGATCTCCACGACTAACGGCTGCCCAGAATTTCATAAACATAACTATTGATAATCCATCTGCTATCTTGTGTGAAGTACATAATCCTGTTGGAGAAAAAAAAAAAAAAAAAGAGGTTAACAAAAGTACTTGGGATTTATTACTACTATTCATGTATAAAAAATTGAAGGCCAAACTTCACTTTATATATCTCTATGTAGTTTGTTCTATTTGAAGTTTATGCTTAATGAGTATGGATACATAACAAAATGTAAATAATGATAATGTAAATGATTATTTTATGTAATGGTTATCTTCTATTACAGCCATGAAATGAGGCTCAACGGGAACATTTCCCGTTTAAATAAAACAATTGAATTTATTTATAAAAATGATATTGTCACATCAATTTTATAAAATTACAGTTCGGATGGAGGTTAATGTGCATCATCAGACATTTCTTATAATTGTCCAATACCTACTTATATAGTGACATATGGGTCTACAAACCCATAAAAAAGATCAGAAATTTATTCGGAATATAAAATTTAATGCTGATATTCATTCATGGAGTGAATTCACAACAAAAAGATTAAATCTACCCTGTCAAATTGAAATTATAGATCTGTTTCTATTTTGCTTTTGTTTTTGTTCATTGACTTTTCCTATAATAACATGTTAGTCGTAACTTTTAGTTTTGTATTCACATAAGGTGTTCAATATTATTAAATGAAAGACATATGATCAAAATTCTCTAAAATTTGATGCCCAAATCACGTTTAATATCATTGAAAAAAATTATGACTTGGCTTCATAGTAATTAAAGAACCGATCTAACTCATATTGTCAGTCGGTGAATTTATCATTAAAAAATAAATATTTGCAAGTAGATATTGACAATAATCTCAGAAACTATCATTTTTATAAAATTATTTTAATATTAAAATACACAAACTCCAACCGTTTATAACATTAAGATCAAGAACATCAGTCCATTACATCAAGATCAAGAAGGTCGAATATAATTTATGCAACTACAATTTTACAAGTGCAATATGGATATTGATTCTCTAAACCTATAAGTTATGTTGATTTCATATATATATATATATATATATAATTATATGTGTAGTAAGACAATGAGCATTCGTTTGGGAAGTGGTTACGGGGATTAGAATAGTTACAAAAAGATAAAATAAATAAAAAGTTAATAAGACAACATGTTACATCCAAATCATAATTATTTTATTTTTTCTCGCACAAAAGTCATAAAAATCAAAAGTCCATGACGTTTTAGCCCTGACTAAAATAGTTAAAAAGTCAAAAAATCAATTTACATCCCAAACGAACCCTGAATTGACCATAGCTGTAGTCAGATAACATTAAGGCTTCGTTTAAAAATATATTATTTTAATAACTTTTTAACTTTTATGAAAAAATATAAAAAAATAAAAGAATAATATAACAAGTTATAATCACTTTTTAACTTTTTAATTAAAATATTTAATCCCAAACGAGATCTAAGTTCACAACTGTCAAGAAGGTTAACTATTAAACAATGAATTGACCATAGGTGTAGTAAGATAATAAAAATATTTCAGACAACCTTGTAAGGATCTGACTTTCCTCTCTTCCATTAATGTCTAGCTGAAAATAGTAAAATAAAATATCATATTTAATTCATAATTATTTTATTTTTTTTCTTATAATTATCAAATTAATTACAAAAAAAAGTCAATCAACTTCCCAAATAATTATTTTAGCCAACTAAAATAGTTAAAAAGTCAAATAGCCAACTAAAATAGTTAGCTTTCCAAACAAAGCCTTTGTATATTCAATATTTTTGGGAAAAAATTAGATTGATTGCTCATGAATTGAGTAAATCTCGGGCAAAACTCGTAAGCTTGACCTCAAAAGTTAATAACACGTAGTGGGAGTTGAACAGTTGGAGGGAGTATACCTACAAGTCCCAAACTGCGCCCATTAGGCCAACTGCTAATGCTCACATTTGTATTTATAAAATTTGACAACAAATATATAATTTCAAAAATAAATCATCAATTTGGAAAAGAAATTCCAAACATGTGGTTATTGACATTATTGTCAAATGGTGAATCAAACCGTGAATTATTTTATTAAAATAATGAATTTTATTTTGAATCGTAAATTATAAAATTCATTTTATTTAGTATAATATAAAATTCTATAACATATATACATATATGAATACATAAATATATAGCATTTAAAATAAAATAAATATCAATGTAATTAAACTGTATATAAATAATAAAATCACGTATATCATACAAATAGTTGATCTCTTTTTTATTTTTATTTTGCAAACATAATTCCGTTTCATTCATTATGCTAATAAAGGTGAATTGTTTGGATCACAATTAAATTGTAAGATTTACTTAACTTAAAATTCAACTGCATGAATTGATTTGTGAATCATAAGATTTTAACAATTATAATTATCAGTATCAGATCAACTTAATTTTTTTACAAATAATTTATCCAAGAAGCATTAAAATTAAACGATTTAAATCAATAAAACAAATCTAAAATGGGCTAAACTGGCCACTCGAGTCCAAACAGTAGTATTCTAGTTTAGTTTGGTAGGACTTAAAAGTCAACTTTTTGTTTTTTTAATCAGTAAAATAGAACTTCATTGATGCAGAACAATGAACGTAAAAACATTGAAACAAAACATTAATAAATCAAAGGCGAGTGCTCCGAGCATCAAAGTTATGTTCTCCAATCCTAATTAAATTGCCATCGAAAAGCAAATCAAATCATATACAAGCATAAAGCTAACGATTGATGAGACACCAATCAAATGACCAAGAAACAAAATGGAAAAGAATACACAAAAACAGCAGCAACAACCATGCAGAAAATGAGATTAAAAATCAATATTTTATTTGATAAGATTTTAAGTAAAGAAAATGAGATAAAAAAAAATAATATGTTTTCTTTGATAACAAGTCATGCAGTTCAATAGACGGCAAAGTTCCGTATAAACGGATTCCAAGGTAAATATATATTTTTTTTGAACTGAAAAAAGGAAGTTCCATGGAGGCATAATATAGTTTCCGCAAGTTTTAGTTCTAATGTAGTCAGTTGATGGCCAAATTTAACTTAATTTCAAGAAAGGGACCCCCTATTAGGATAACAATGGACTCCAAACTCACTCTACAAGGGTTGTAGGGTTTTGTGACAGGAATATAGCACAGTTTTCAAAAGAAACTTGCACCCCCAAGTGTCGACCCAAACATTTTGTGTAGGAGTGTGAAGAGCCACTGGACCACCACCTTCAGTGGTCACTTAAGAGGGTTTGAACATCAGAAAATGGAGGGAGTACACCTTGAAATCCAAGTCCTGCCCTAGCCGAAGGTGAGCAAGCCAATCGTCTTGGGCCACCAAATTTTGTCCAATTTTCAGGGTCTTTATATAGTTTTAGCTCTTATGATATTAGCATCTTTAAAAATGAAATTCCAAATTAATTAATTTAACTTTACAATCTAAATTAAAGATCCTTAAAGCATCTTCAACCCTTTATTACTTTTTTTTTTTTTAAATCTAATTTGTTTCTAAATTTGAATAAAAAACTTAATTTGATATAAATTACTCTAACCCTTTCATCAAAAAATTTTCAAAATCATTTTAAAAATTCTTCTCTTACCCCAAATTTCCATTTTCATCAAATTTGATAAAAAATATCTCCAATGCTTTATCTTTTTGAATTTTCATCAGATACAAATTTGATAAAAAAAAATGTTTCTCCATTGATTTAACAAACATTTGATGAAAGGGTGTGGGTATTAGTTTAAAAAAAAAAATAAAAAATACTACAAGTACTTAATTACCTTTTTTCTACAATTTTTTTTTTTTTTATAAAAATGATTGTGTATAGATTAATACTATATACTCTTAAAAATTAACTCAAAAAATATATTTATATATCTCATTCCTTCTCGATATGGATCACATTAAATTCACAATAAATTTAAGTTAGTAAAAGTCTAAATAAATATTCTATTATATATAAAGGCGCTCTAATTTAAGATTTCGCCTTAAGCTCGAGAAATCTCAAGGCTGGTTCTGAGACCAACCTTGAAATTATAAAAAACAAAGATTATATATAATATTTTTCAATTATAAATGATACCAAACAAAGCCTCACCAATAGCCATGCCACCGCATTGGAAGAAGTTGACCTGAACAGCTAAGAGTAGATCACCAGCATCATCAAAATCAGGATACGGAAATAAGTTGTTGAGTTGGGAGTTGCAATTGCTTTGTCCAACGACATGGTCGAGACTGGATTCGACTTGGACTTCAAGGAAAGGGACACCCGCATCGTTGCAATCAACAAAGAGGTTGTCTTTGACACGACCAGCTAGTGGATAGAACCATGACAGTGTCTCAGAAAGAGACTTCTTTAGCTTCTCACTTCTTCTGACACTTGTCGCTTTGTTAAGCCCTGATGCATAGAAGTAGACAAAAGGAAGATAGTGTGGTTGTTGTTTTTGGTCCAGAAATGAGAGCTTCAGTTGGCAGAGATAGTGCGGTGTTTGGTTGGATGGTTTTATGGCTTGCTTTGATGTCACCACAACCTTCATTGATTGATTTCCTAGGTTGGTACTTGCACAAGTTGATTGTTTTCTCTGTACACGTCAAATGCATCATATATATATATATATATATATACATGAAAAATCTATGATACCCTTGCACGTGACACACCGTTGAAAAAAAAGTTAATTACATTTTAAAAAATTACATTCACATTTGTGGAGGTACCCTTGCACGTGACACACCGTTGAAAAAAAAAAGTTAATTACATTTTAAAAAATTACATTCACATTTGTGGAGGTTTGGAGAACATGCAAATAGTCTTTGTTATTGACATAATTAAATTAATTTTATAAAAAAAAAAGTATATAACTCTAGTTTCTAAATTTAATGATTTACAAGTGAAATAATTAGTTAATAATTAGAGAAAATATGAAAAAGTAAAATAACATACAAAAATAATTGGTTGCTCTATCATTGAATTTGAAAACTGGGATTAATTTTGGGCTTTGAATAACACTACTATTATAGTATAGTTAAAATAATTGAAACTAATATCAATGATGAATAGATACTAAAAAAAATAAAATATAAAACCTTGAGAGATGAAAAATAGTTCAAGTGTTATGTAAATTAAAATAGTTAATGTGTATAACTAATTGTATTTTTTTTCAAACCTCAAAACATGTGAGTGTAATTTACTCTTATATTTTTTATTCTAATTTTTTTTTTTAAAATATGAATCTTTTATCATTTTAGTCTCCAATATATTAAAATATTTTAATTTGGACCAAACTAAGACATTTTCATATATTGGAGATTAAATTGACATAATTTAAACATTAAGGGACCGAAATGACAAAATACTCATATTTTAGAGACTAAAAATGTAATTAGTTCTTAAAAAATTTTATGATTTTTGTAATAAAAGTTATATATGTTCGTTGTGTGTTGTACCCTAAAGTGTAAAAATTGTACTTTTTGTGACGCAAAAAGATGTCATTTTAAGGTTTGTTACAATTTTTTTTTTTTACATTGTTATAAAGATCTATCATATATATCCTCTTAAAAATGCACATAGTAGTATCTTTAATATATATATATATATATATTAGCAATGCACAAGTTATATGCGTGTAATTTTAGCGAAAAACTACGCTGTATATACTTTTTAACTAAAAAGAAAAATAATATATTCCCTATCTCAAAATATTATTTTTTATTTTAATTTTTATTGTCTCAAAATATTAGTTATTTTTTTAAAATAAAGAACTAAAATAATATGAATTTTCTATTTTTTCTTTATTTTAAATTCATTAACAATATAAAAAAGTATAATTATGACAATTGATATTCCTAAAAAAATGTACTATCAATGTGTAATTTTAAAAAATTAATATTTTAAAAATGTAATAGTTGTACTATAAAAAAAATTAGATTCCCCAAAAGGGACTATCATTTTGGGATGCATAGGTTATAATCTTAATTTTTTGAGGCATATCCAAAAAAAAAAATAAAAAAAAATAAAATATCATAACTAAATACAACATAAGGCATAACTAAAAAAGTCATAGGTCATAACTAAAACAATGTAATAACTAAAGAGGAAAATTAGTCATAACTAAAAAAATGATATAACTAAGGGTATATATGATATATATATTTTTGAAGATAAGATAATACACTCTTTTTTAAGAGATATATATTAGATTTTTCTGTAATTTTATCTAAATTGTTGGTTAGTTTATTCAATGCAAAAATATAGTTTGATATTGAAAATGGATTAGTAGTCACTAGTGATGTGGCATGTTTTTTCTAACACCAGTATTGAATATAAATCAGTATGTTTGGTTTCAATTTCTTAGATTTAATTTTTTATAAATTGAGTTTTTTATTTTTCGTATTTTTTTAATTTTTAGTGAATATTTTTAAAATCTTAAGTAATTTTTTTACTTTTTTAGATACACCTCACTTAGATGTATCTAAAAAATAAAATATTTATAAAAAAATTAATAAATATACAAGAATACCAAAAATGTATTGGAATCTCATAATTTTTTTTTTTTTTGTATTTTTGGTATTTAGTGAATTTTCTAAAGATTTTTTTTTTTTACAAATATTATACTTTTTAAGTGTATTTATGTTAGGTGTATTTAAATAGTAAAAAAAATTATATAGTATATTAAAAAAATTTAGTGAAAATAAAAGAATACAGAAAATAAAAAATTTCAATTTTTTGAAAGGTGAATCTCGAAAAATCAAACCAAACAGGCTGAATGTTTTTTTTTTTCATTGTTCAAATAAATCTCAAAAAATCAAACCAAACAAGCTGAATGTTATTTTTTTCATTGTTCAAATAAAAAATAAATTAAAAAATTTAAATTTAAATTGACAAAATTAAACACTCAACCTTGAATTTTGTTTTTTATATTTTGTAATTTCTTCTAAAAGTTTTCATTGCACTATTAATTTAGACCATCACGTAGACAATATCAAATAATAATTTTGAAAAATACCTAACAATTAAGGAGAAATCTATTATAAATGGGGTACCATATACACTCTTAGATATATCATTTTTTTTAATTATGATTAATTTTATTTTTTAATTATAAGATTATTTAATTATGACTTATGAAATTTTTGGGTATGTTTCATGTGATATTTAGTTATTATGTTTTTAATTAGTATTTAAAAATATAAAATTATATTATTTTTTTAATTATGCTTGGTTGTGTTTTTTCAAATCACTTTTTAGAAAATTTTACTTTCTTGCTTTCCGTATTTTTTTGTTTTTACCGATTTTTTTTAATATTTTAAGCAATTTTTTTTACTGTATAGACATACCTAACATAAATATACCTAAAAAGTAAAAATTTGTGAAAAAAATCTTTTAAAAATTCATTAAATATCAAAAATATAAAAAAATACGAGAATTTAATACATTTTTTTTGTATTTTTATGTATTTATTAAAATTTTAAAATATTTTTTCACAAATTTTTTACTTTTTAGATACATTTAAATAAGGTGTATCTAAAAAACTTACAAAAAAAAGAACAAATACTCAAGTGATCCAAGCCTAAAGAAAAAATCTTATATGAATTATTTTTCTTTATAATTTTTAAAAAAAAAAAAAATTATAGCACAATTTTTATTTTATAATCCTTTCATTTAGTAATTGTGAATATTTTTTTTTCAGTTAGGCCAAGTTTGGCTAAACTAAAAAAGTGCACTTATTTCATATTTTTATCTTTTTTGAGTCACATCAATCAATATCTCCTCTCTATTTTTTTTACACATAATACAAAAAAAAATAAAAAAAATACACTTATTTAATCTTTCCAAACTTGACCTAATAGTCTTGGGTTGGGTGCCGGAACAAAAGATGAAACCAACGTGGCAACGTGAAACATGAGGCGGAGAAATTGAAAGATGTGGTAGTTGGTGATTTGGGGAAGCCCCCATTATAAAACTATATCATCAAAAAGGACAACTATTTTTTTTTGAAAAATGTTTGAGACCTCTAAATTGTGAGCTCTAGAAGAACTCTAACCTGTGGACCCCACTGTATGATTTGATATTTTTACCTTTGTTTTGTTTTTTTATTTTTATTTTTTAGATTGCCATGTCACTAGTGCTCTTATTAGAGCTTTATTATTAGAGCTCTTAATCACCACCCTTTTTTTTTTTATTCTGACAAAACGTGGATGAAGCGTGCGACACGTACCTACCCAAATCTCATTTATTTGTTTTAAAAATGTTCGAGAAATTTTGGGTATGTTTGGTTTGAATTCGGAAGATGAGTTTTAGAGATAAAAAGTATAAAAAGTTATTTGGTTTGATTTTTTTCAAAAGATATTTTGAAAAATTATTTTGAGAGAGAGTTTTGAAAAAAGTGATTGATTTGATGTGTATGAGAGAGAGATTTGTTTGAAAAACTTATAAACCAAACAAGTTTTGGGAATTTTTTTAGGAAAATTTGTTCGGTTTGATTACTTTTGAAAACTTATTTGTAGAGAATTTTTTCTAAAAATTTTTGAGAAACACAAACCAAACAAGGCGTTTAATTCGGGACTTATTTTAAAAATAAGGGGCAGGCATGTTTGGATTGTATGGTATCATTAGACTTGTAAGGTTGGTCATGAGTCATGTTTCAATAATTTAAACCGTTTAATGTGTAGAGTTCGTCGAATAATTTATTTATGTAAAATAATCATATTGATCGGATGTCGATAACTACTTAATCAGATCAGATTTTTACTAACAATTTATTTTAAAAATTATATTTACCGTTGATAGAAATATGATACGATCATGTAATTATTGATACCCGATCAATGTGATTTTTTTATAGGGATAAACTACCAGATGAGTTTTACACATTGAACAATTCGAATTATCGAAACAGGATTCGCGGTGAACCTCCACGAATCCAATTGTACGCTTCAATTCAATTTCGGACTAGAGAGAAGCTTGGCCGTAAAATCAAATTTCAAACTGGTAGTAAAGCTTATCAATTTTAATAATTAAAATGATAAATTTTTGCCATGACATTGTAATTTTTTTTTTATTATCTTACAACTAATTTGTAATTTCTCCAAAAATCTTTAAATTTTGGATAAATTATAAAATAAAAAAAAACTTCAGGATTTGGGCCTTATAAAAAAAATAAAATTTGAATTTTCTCAATTTAATTCTAATATTTCGATATATTTTTAATCTAAACAATTTGCCTATACCGATTAAGTAAGCTGACCAAAAAATGATATTTTACTCATTAAATTCAATGAAAAATAATATTTATATTTCATACACTTACACTGAGTATGAGTAAAATCTTCTTCTTTTGCTTGCTTCACTTAATGAAAATAGACAAATGATTGAAAACAAATCAAAAGTAAATTGACAAAATTAAAAGTTTAGAATTTATTTTGTTACAAAACTCAAATCTTGGGTTTCTTTATTTTATTTTTTTTACTTTTGTAATTTCTTCTTAAAATTTTATAACTTTGATATAGGTACTTATTTTTATTTTTATAAAATTAATAACACTATTTGGTTTGGATTTCAGGATTCACTTTTTAAAAAATTTAAAT